ACCCTCCTATCCTACCGTCAGTCTTTTGAAAATATAATTTGATGAATATGGTAGACACAGTACTTGTCCTCATGAATATTTCAGTCCAATAAGGAACAGAACAATTAGTTCAATGGGTACAATTGAGTCAGATAAATGTTCTTGAACAGAAAGTACAGGATACTAACATAGATTTGGAGAAACAAAAAAGGTTCTGTGGAGGAAATTATATATTACCTAATTAGTAGTGTTGGTCAAGCAACAAGAGAGGAATAGTGATCTCCCAGAGAAAACAATTTGAGCAAAGAAGACAGACTCTGCATGGAGATTTTGAGGCATTGATCATATTACAAGTATGTGATCAAAAAGCAGCAGTAGAGAACAAGACAGTAGAGGTAAGCCATTCAGGAGCTTGAATTTCTACTTAAAAGAAATTGGGAGTTAAGTGATATAAAGAGGGGAGTAGCATCAACTCTTCACTCTAGAAAGAGCACTCTGGCTACAGAGTGAAGAATGAACTGGAAAGACAGTGTTGAAGGCAGAGAGACCGATTAGCTGTTGCAGTACTCTGATGGGAGATGACTGGTCTCAACGAGGGTAGCAGCAGTGGTTATATCGAGGAGTAGATGGTTGCAGGAGATATTTTGAGGTAGAAATGACAGGACCTGTTGGAAGATTAGCCATAAGGGTGTAAGTTAGGGTGGTGGTAAGAATAAAACCTGGGGTTTTGACTTTGAATATATGGATATAAGCACCTGGCATATTCACTGAGAAAGAGAATCTAGTTGTTCTTATTGTTTATTTGTTTACTTAGGCACAGGATGAGTGATAAATTCTGTTTTGCATGTGATGAGTTTGGAGATGTCAAAATGCAGCTAAATACATGAATGTCCCTCTGTAGGGCGGATCCAAGTTTGAGTAGAGATTTGGGAATTATCAGTGTGTTGATGATGTCCTAATAGTAACTGTATTGTGAAAGCATACCTCGTCAAATAACTAGTTGAAATCCAAATGCCATATGATTCATGCATTCTCTGATCTCCTGGGGTAGCAATATCTATGAATGATTTTCTACTCCATGTTAGATGAAGTGATTAGAATTAGGTTTGAAACTTCTCAGTCATTTCAATTTCAGCCATGTAATTCAGTCCACAGGTTATCTGCCTTGCGCTGGCTGTTTTTGGTACTAGAATACCATGATGGTCAAAACAGACAAGATCTCCGCTACTCACAGAATGTGGGGTGGGGTAGTAATTAAGAATTTAAGATCATGAAGGAACAAACACATCATCGTCCTTCTCTACTTCCACCTAAATAGGAATTGAGGAGAGGAGAAAACACATAATTATTTTATGGGTTATTGTAGGTTATTTCTGCACAAAAGCCAAAACAGCAGTTTCACCATTCTAAATGTATCCTCATCTGTTGCAGTGGGTATGTTTAGAGGACAGATGATATCCTGATCTGTATCTAGGCAACTCTTCTGTGACAGCACAAAATTGAGGAGCGACAAGTGAGATCATAAGAAACAGAAACATTATGCTAAAAAAAAAATCTTAAGGTCGAGTGGTATTGTCAGTGTCTCCTGGCAAGGAGGCAGGTATTAGAGCTGCCTTGGAGACAAGACTCCACAAGGCTGCTGTTGTGATGTTATTGTCAAAGGGAGCTCATCTAAACTCTCTGGGAGAGTCAGCAGCATTCCTTCCCCAAGGTGTCCCCATTTAAGTTGGTAGTGCTCTCCTCTCGTTTATGTAACTTTTTTTTTTTAAAAAATGCATCTAATTGGACCCCCATCACAGAGACTCTCTTATTTCAACAAATAAGAGTGATTGACATTTAATTGACATACAATGAGCTTAAACCTATTTAAAATGCACAGTTTGGTGAGGGTTGACATGTAAACATCCATGAAACTGTCACCCAACCAAGAAAATGAACATTCATTACAAATAACAATTTTCTCCTGCCCCTTTGTAATTTTGCCCTTACACTACTGGGACTCTCAGGCAACCACTGATACAATTTTTGTTACAATATATTAGTTTGCTTGATCCACTCTTACAGCAAATACTACTCAGTGATCAAAAGAGATAAATTCATGCCACTTGCAGCAACATGAATGGAACTGGAAAGGATTATGCTAAGTGACATAAACCAAAGAGGAGAAAGATACCAGATGGTTCCACTTCTATGTGTAATGTAGAGAAACCAAACAAAGTGTAAGACCATCACAAACTTTAAAACTGACCCTTAAAATCTGACCGTAGATCTGAAGCAATCAGTTGGGGAGGGGAGAGAGAGAGAGGAGAGTCGGGGAGGAAACAGTCTGTAGCCTCTTTACAGTCTCTTAATAGTATCTTTCAAAGAGAAGCCTTTTATTTTGCTGAAGTCTAACTTTCCATTTATTCCTGGATGGATATTACTTTTGGAGTATATCTAAAAAGGCTTTCCAATGATGCAGAATTGTTGCTCTCTTTTTACTCTAGAAGTTGTATTGGTTTTACATTTACATGTAAAATTCATTTTGATGTAATTTTTGTACACAATGTAAAAATGGATTAAAGTTCACTTTTTCTTGGAATATGGGTATCTAATTGCAAATGATCTGATATAATTTATATAAAAGACTTTCCTTTCTCCACTGAGTTGCCTTTGCATCTTTGTAAAACAATCAGTTTTGATAGATGGTAGTAGATGGTGTAGGTCCATTTTTGGACTTGATATTCATTGATCCATTTACCCTTTTTGTTGGATAAATTTATCCTATATTGATACCAGTAAAATATTGTCTCAATGACTATTGTTTTATAATCTTGAAATCTTAGTCTTCTAATTTGTCCTTTTATTTCAGTTAAATTTGTGTTCTAAATTCCTTTGCATTTCCTTATGAATTTTAAAGTAAGTTTGTCAGTATCTACAAAGAAACTTGCTGAAATTTTCACTTGGATGGCAATTAATCCACAGATAAATTTGGCAAAAATTGGCATCTAGTAAAATTGTTTTCCTATCTATGAGCATGACAAATCTCCGTTTAGAGACTTTAGAGATAAAATGTTTTGAGTAGTTTTCATGTACAGGGTGAAATGAGGGTCCAGTTTCATTCTGCATATGTTATCCAGTTTCCCAACACCAATAATTGAAGAGACAGTCCCTTCCCCATTATGTGGTTTTGACACCCTTGTTAAAGATTACTGATGGATGCATTTCTTTCTGGACTCTCTGTTCCATTTGTCTTTGTCTGTTTTTATGACAATACCACACTGATTTGATTACTATAGTTTTATAATATAGCATCAGGAGTGTGATGTGCTATCTCCAACCTAGTTCTCCTTTGTTCTTGCTCAAGATTTCTTTTGTGACTCCCATTGAGTTTTAAGATACTTTTTCTATATCTGTGAAGAATGCCACTGGAATTTTAAAAAGATTGCATTGAATCTATCACTGTGGGTAGTATGAGCATCTCAATATTAATTCCTGCATCCAGAAACATAGTCTATCTTACCATTTATTAGTGTTTTCTTTAATTCTCTTCATGTTTTAAAATATTCCGTATGTAAGTCTTCTACCTGGCTAGTTGTTTATTCCAAAATTTTTATTATTTTCGTGTTGTTTTCCTCTCAGATAGTTTATATAAAGTCATGACTGATCTTGTCTGTTGATTGTGCATCCTTTACTGATTTCATTGATTATTTCTAACATTTTTGTTGTTGAGTTTTTTGGGTATTATATGACCTCATCGCCTGCAAGTAGAAATAATTGTACTTTTTTTTTCAGTTTATATGCTTTTATTTCTTTTTTAACATAACCTTGCTCTGTTATCTAGTATTATGTTGAAAAGAATTGGTGAAAGTGGGCATCCTTGCCTGTCACCCAGTCTTAAAGGGGAAGGCTCTCAGTTTTCCCCCATTGATTGTGGTGTTAGCTGTAGGCTTGTCCTGTATGATCTTTTTTCTTTAAGACAGGTTTTTTTCTTATGTTCTTTTTTGACAGCATTAATCATGAATGGATGGGTATTCTATTGCTAGTTATATATTCTTTGCTATTAATATATCCCCTTCATCTTTTCATTGATGTGAGCATGGTATTGTTTTGTCCCCTTCATTCTTATGCTGTCTATGTCCTTATAGGATATTCCTTGCAGTCAGCATATAATTGGGTCTTGCTTTTTTATCAACCACCACTGAGCTTTGCTTTTTATCCAATCACATAATCTCTGCTATTTATTTGTGCTTTTTGATCATTAATAGTTAATATGATGTTGACTCAAATTGTTTATTTCTTTTCTTTTTGTTCCTTATACTCTCCTCATTCTGCCTATTGAAAATATTTGAATAGTTTTTATATTCCATTTATTAGCTTATTAACCATAAGGTATTTTTTTTATTTTGTTGCTTGCTTTAGAGTATATAATATGCTCCTGTACCTTAACAAGACTAACTTGAAATGATATTTAAGCACTTGATGTGTGCCAGAAGAAATTTACCATAGTATATTATTTTCTGGACTTTATGCTGTTTTGTCAAATATTTTATCATTACATATATACAACTCTAATGAAGTAAATAGTGATTAGTATTTAAACAGTTGTCTTTTTAAATTAATTAAATAGTATGAAAAATCATAGCTGTTTAACTGTAGCTATCATTTCCACTGTGCTTCCTACCTTTTTGTAGATCCATCTTTTGCCCTGGTATCGTTTGCCTTTTGCCTTAGAGACTTCCTTTAACATTTATGATAGTTCAGATATTCTATTTTTTAAAGGTTAATAAAAGGTTTATTTACAAGGGAAAGGGAATTAAGGAAATGTACAACTCAGGGAGAAAATAGGGAAATAAAATTGCAGTTTTGAAAAATTATGTACAATCAAAAAAATTTTGCTGGATCTTGTTACTGAAGGGTGTGAACATACTGCCAAACATTCTGGGATCCCCATCGCTCCCTGGTCTGGCAGAAAAGAAGGCAAAATCAACTGTATGAACTGAAAGTCAGAACAGGCTCCATTCTGCAGGCTGAGCAGGAATCGCTGTCAGATGGGAAAGCAGCCTTAGTCCTGCACTAATGACTGAAGAGCCAGGTGAGATTTTCACAGTGGGTACCTGGCCTTTGCACCTGACAGTGTATTCTTTAGACATCAGGACAGGACAGTGATTCAACTCCCTTGAAACCTTTTGCCTTCCTCTGCCCATTACCATATGAACAGCATTACCATATCTTTACATTTTATTTTATTTTTTATAATAAATTTTATTTTGATATTCCCCATACAATTGCAACCCCCTTATTTTGACCCCAATCCCTCCCCTTCCCACCCCCCATAGAGTGTCCCTGGTTCATAGTTTTTTGTTGATTTTGATTTTCACTTTCTTATAGTTATTCATTTTCCTGGTCCCTTATTTAAGTTTTCTAGATTCCTGCTATGAGTGAGACCATCCGGTATTTTTCTTTTTCTTTTTGGCTTATTTCGCTGAGCATGATCCCTTCCAGCGCCACCCATGTTGCTGCAAATTGCATGTGTTTATCTTTTTTGAATGCTGAGTAATATTCCATGGTGTATATGTACCACATCTTCTTGATCCAGTCATCTATTTTTGGGCATTTGGGCTGTTTCCAAAGCTTAGCTATTGTAAACAGTGCTGCTATAAACATAGGGGTACAGATGCTCTTTGGAATTGATGTTGATAGTTCAGATATTCTTGTAAAAATGTCTTTCTAGTTTTTTAATCTGAAAATGTAGTCCATCTTTACTTTGGAAAAATATTTTCTTTGGGTATAAAGTTCTCAATTGATGTTTATTTCTTCAAATTATGATTCCACAGTCTTCTCAATGCATTGTTTCCGGAGACATCTGTTTTATTCCTTAACTTTATTCTCTGCAAATCACTTATATTGTTGCTCCTGATTTTCTCCTGATCACTGGTCCTGAAGTTTTATTATGGTGTGACATTGTGTAATTTTCATATAATTTCTTCTGTAGGATTTTTAAAAATCCTTGGAAATGGTTTTATTATGTTCATCAAAATTTTAGGACATTTAAGTCATTCTTCAAATATTTATTCTGACACCTTCCTATGCATTGTGTTCTTCAATTATATATTAGGCTGCTTGAAGGTACCCACAGTTTATTGATGATTTATTCATTTTCAAAAATTATTTTTTATGTTTCATTTTTAATACTTTGTATTGCTGCATCATCACTGTTTGATAATCTTTTTATTTTGCTACATCTCTGGTCTATTAATCACAATCAGTAAATTTTTGTCTCAGACTTTGTAGTTTTTCTCCCTTCAGTTTGCTTCACATCTTGTTTAATATTTTCCATGTTTTGAGTTTTAGTTATATGAAATAAAGCATATAAATGTTTCAGTGCCCTTTTCCATTAATTCTAGTATCTGTGTTAGTTCTAAGTTATTTCCAATTATTTGATTTATCTCCTCCATATGGGCTGCTTTTTTCTTTCATTTTTATGCCCAGCAGTTGTTTTATTAGATGATAAACATTATGAATTTTACCTTGTAAAGTGCAGTATGATTTTGTACTCCTATACTTACTCCTGGGCTTGATTCTGGAACATAGTTAAGTTACTTAGAAACATTTAGATTCCTTCCTGGTTGCTTTTAAGATTTCTTCGGGAGAGCTGAAGCAGTCATCAGTTTAGGACTAATTATTCCCCACCACTGAAGCAAAAACCTTCTGTTTAATCTACCCATTGCCCTTTGAATCTTGAGATTTTCCATACTGGGTGCTGAGAATAGACACTATTTTGGCCCTGTGTGAGTGCTGGATGCTTTTATTGCTAATCTCTTCAGATGTTTTCTTTCCTCAAGCCTTAGATAATTTTCTTACATATATATGTGTGTGTGTATATATATATATATATATATATATATATATATATATATATATAGGCTATTATTCTGAAAAATACTCAAGGGGAACTCTCTGCTGAGATCCAAAGCTCTCTCTCTCTCTCTTTGTAGATTTTTTTCTCTTTGGTACTCCCCCCTGAGCATTCTACCAACTTAATTCCACCAGATTCCCAGTTGAACTTGTTCTCTGGATTCCACATATGGAAAATTTATCCCATGGCTCAGAGACCACCATCCTTTGCTCCCTTATGTTGAGTATCTTGCAAACCATTTTTTCCAACTGCTTTGTCCATTTGGGAGGCCTATTTTCAATGGGAGATTAAACATGGTCCCTGTTTCTCTATTTTCCCAGATTGTTCCAGAGAGTCTCTCTTCATAAGTATGTGATTAGACTCAGTACATAGCTGAAAATCAACCAAGACTGAGAGTAACTGCTCTAGACCAACAAATAACCCCAGCAGAAAATTATATCTGTACTTTCCATGGTCAAATATACAATGCAGTTCATGGAAATCCTGTTTTTCTTTTTCCATAATCAAAAATTGGAAGTGATTTCCTTCCTACTACTATGGCCTTTGTCTAATCAATCTTATGTTATTTTCCTCTACATTGCCCTCTCCTTCCCTAACATAGAGTTACTGGTCAAGCCTACCATCACCCTGTGAGGAAGCTACATTGATTATGTTATTTGTTACTCTACTTTGTGACTGAACAGTGGAGGCACAAAGGCCTGTGAATGGTAGAGGGTCTCCACCCCAATCAGAGGCAAATGCAACAAGAAATCTTTGGGTTCCCTGCGAGTCCATAGATTTTAACACTAGAAAGAAGGCAACCCTTAGGGGAGTACCCAGTGCTGTCAACCTGCCGCCTGAGACATGGAGACTGATGTCCCTTGTAATTTTTCCCAGACAAGTGCTGCTACAAATGCTATTATTGTCCTCAGGGCTCTAATTTGAGATTAAAACACTTGTCTTCTTGTCTAACTATCTTTCCACTTTAGCTCTCACTGGAATTCCAGTTAGAAGACATCTCTTTTTTTCACCCTCATTAAACTTATGGGAAAAAGGGACACCCCAAAATGGTTTCAACATCTTCTCATGGCCTCAGAATTCCAGAATTAGCGGAATCCACTAGATAAATCACTCACTCAGGCTCCTACGGTAAGTGCAAATGATATATTATCCCATTTTATGAGTGTGGAAATTGAGACCCTGAAGATTTTTATGGCCATGGGTATGTGCTGCATTAAGGAGAACTAAGTGAGTGCTTAGGACCTTGAAGATTCAAAACTTTTGTCTGTGGCTTCACATTAGACTATAACACAGATAAAATCAAAGCACCCTACCTGGGCATCTCAGCACTGTCATGTAACTGCCAGAGAAGCTATCAAACTCTGCCCTCTTATGAAAGGGACTCTCTGCTGGTTAAATCAGTTATAGCTCAATCAAGTTACGTGAAACAGAACTCCAGGATACTTAGCATAGCTGCAATCACAGCATTGGGCTGTTGCTGTCATTTTGAAACCACCAGAATTTTTATAACATTGTTTATACCATGCGATATTTAGATTTAAGAAATGTGATGTATCTGTAAGATCACATTTAGTGAAATATCAAACTTAGGTTATCATAAAAAATGACTACAAATAGAAAGGAATGTGCTGAGAACAGAGAATTTGATCATGCTATGCAAAAACACAAAGAAAGAATGGTCTCTAGAAGATGGTTTTCGCTCCTCTGACTTTTGCCTGAGTCCTGACCATGACTTCAAGTTATTTCTAATCATGTCACTAGTAAATATGAATAACAGTGATCAGGGATCTTAGTATTTAGTTGGGTAGCAGCAAATGCACATTGAATGAATTACTGAAAAAAGAAATGAAGTACCTTAACATGATCTGGCCTCTATAGGGCTCCTGGTCTTCTCACCTTTTGTTCTTAGTCTTGAATACACTATCTTTCAGCCACCCTGATTTTCTTATTCTTTTTGAAGCATGATCTGCTCATTCTTTGGTCTTTATTTTTCCTTTGACTGAAAAAGTCCTTCTCCAGATCTCAAATTGATACTCTTTCTTATTGACCTTTCCTGACATCCTAATATAAAACAGTTCATTAGATATCATATCACTTTCTCCTTCTTATTTTCACTTTCATTTTATCACCACTAGGTGTTTGTGTATTTGTTTTCTATCTACTGCTGCATTAAAATGCAAGCCCTATAGGGCCTCCCCTGGTGGCGCAGCATTTAAGGGCTGGGCTGCGAAGCTGCCTGCAGGCTCTGCAGCACAAGTTTGAACCCCAGTGGCCGGCAAGGGTCCCACATGGCATGCAGACCTCCTTTGCTGTGTCGGCTTCTCCCCTCAGCAGTGTATTGTCATCAGTCTGCCTGTTCTGTTCCCCGCTCTGGCTCTGGTGAATTCTCTCACCCTCCTGCACTTCTGACTGTACCCAGTGCTTGTGTAAATAAATAAATAAATCTTTAAAAAAAAAATGCAAGCCCTGTAATAACCAACATTTATATAGCCACATGCCCTTGCACCAGTCTAGGTATTTTGTGTGTAATAACATGCTTTATTCTAATAACAACCCTATAAGGTTTGCTATTTTTACCTTCATTTTATAGGTTATGAAACTGAGGCAAAGTCTAAAATGAAATTGCTAGAAAATGACAGCAGGGCCGCACTCCGAGATGAGCTGACTCCATGCTCTTCACTGCTCCTTTCACCCCTTCCTGCAGAGAGTTGGGGACTGCAGTGGGGCCTCCCAAGAAGCAGACACCAAGATGGAGCTAGACATGCAAGACACTACTTGAGAAACCCCTTCCATTTATCATCATGTATTCAAAGTAAGGGAATAGGGGAAAGACACCAGGAAAAGCTGAAAAAAAGATTAGACCATTGTGGAATTCTGATTGTTGTGAAGGAGACAGATAAGGAGGAAGATAGGAAGAACAGAGGAAGATCTAGATTGCAGAATAATCTTAAGATTGTTTCACAAAGGCCAGTCAGCATCACCCATCGGAGGAACCCTATGTCGTTCAGGGCCTGCCTAACTTAGTACCTTTGCATGTTCACACATTAACTGGGAGCAGCCTGTGGGAAGCACGGCCCCAGCAGGGATATGGTGATGAATTTCTGATACATTTCCGTATCTGACACCTAGACCCCTATCTAACACCTAGCAGGTGCTCAATAAATATTTGTCAACGAAATGAATTACCCCTTGGAACAGCAAAGGTACTCAGTGATTATTAACTATGAACAAATAAATGAATAAATGATCACACAAAGCTAAGCAGTCACCTAAGTCCTTTATGATTTTTCATCACCTTTGCTCCTCTGGCGAAAAGGAAGCATGGGGGCACTGGCAGTTAGGGTCACAAGAGACACTTTAGTTCCCCCAGTTCCCTGGCAGTACTGTGCCTAGGCAATAATTTACAAAGACAACTTCATTCCCCAAAGGAAAAGAATGACTCTTGACTGTAGTTTGGGCAGATGTACTTATGGACACTTCAGACCTACACATTTCAAGCACTTAATCCATATAAAATAATGGCCATTCACCCTCCTGAACCCATTCCAAGCTGGCTAGATGTATGATGCCTATTACAGAAGCTTCAGAGCTGGCTCTCAGGCTACAATTTCTTTTCCCTGTTTACTTTCCTTTTTCCCTTAAAACAACAAAAATGTATTCTTCCTCATAGTTATGAAGGCCAGAAGTCTGGAATCAAGTCATGTTAGTAGGGCTGTATACCTGCTGAGGGCCCCAGGGGGGTCCTCACCTGCCCCCTCCTGGCCTCTGCTGGTGACAGGAGCTCCTTGGCTTGTAGCTGCATCTCTCCAGTCTCTGCCTCCAAGAACACCTGGAGCTCTTGCCTGAGGAAATCCAAATTTTCCTCCTCTTTATTTTTATTTTTCATTCTGTAAAAGATATGTCACATACAATTTATCAGCTTAACCATTTTTTAGTCCACAGTTCAGGGGCATTAATTACATTCACCTTGGCACAACTATCACCACATCCGTTTCTGGAATTCTCTTGGTCTTTCATCACTGATATGCCACCCCCATTAAATACTGACTCTCCATCTGCTTCCCCTGAGAAGGCAGCTTCCTTGCTCTCTGACTTGATGAATTTGATGACTTTAGACACCTCAGGCGAGTGGAATCCTACAAAATCTTTTGTGATGGGCTCATCATTGAGGATCATGTCTTCAAGGCCCAACCCTGTGACAGCAGGTGTCAGTATTTTCTTCTTTTTGATGCTGAGTAATATTTGTATTTGTGTTTTAGGGTTGCCATTACAAAATGGAACAGACTGAGTGGCTCAAAGACTAGACATTTATTTTCTCATAGATCTGGAAAAGTCCAAGATCAAGGTGTCAGCAGGTTTGAATTCTTTGAGGCCTCTGCTGGGCTTGCTGATGGCTGCATTCTCCGTGTGTCCTCAGTCCACATTGTGTGCCCCCTCAGTCCACATTGTGTGCCGATCTCTCCTTTGAAGGACATGAGTCACATGGCTCTGGGGCTACTTGCTGGAGATCAGCTCTGGAGAACAGGGTTGAGGAGAGCAATCTGAAAGAACTGAGGAATAAAGATATGAGATACAAAATAGTTTTAAGAGAAACAGGACCCAGGGGACGCAAGACTTCTCCTTTCAAGCTCAACTGTCCCAAGTGCCCAGTGCAATTCATTTTTATTGATACCACACCCCTCCCCTCCTTGTTAGTTACTAGACAATGAATCATTCTCTTAGTATTCAGCCTTGTCCGGGCACACAATCACTGCCAAGGGTCTGTGTTATCAGGTATATTCTACTCCCTTTATAATCTGGCCTGTTTCCCAGACTTACCTTTGCCGACACAGAAAAGAACATTGTGGTCTGGACATGGGCCAGTCTTCCAGCCTGTGTTGACTAGTCTTCCAGTCATGACCTGGACATTCTCCCTGTCTCAGCAGCTAGGGGTCCCCAACAGCTACCCATAAAACTTCATTTTACCTTACATCTTCCAAGGCCCTCTTTCCAAATAGTCACTTTATAAGGACCTGGAGCTGAGAACATCAACATGTGAATATTGGGGGAACTCAGGTCAACCCATAACACTTGGATGATACAATTGTCCAAATCAGGGAATAAGCTTTGATACAAGTCTGTTACATATTCTATGTACTTTATTCAAACAATGCCAATTGTCAGATTTTGAAGTATGTTACTTTCCTGATGTAGGGTCTGTCCAGGAGTCACACAGTGCCTTTGGCTGTCTAGTTTCTTTAGTCTGGAATAGTTCCTTGCCTTTTCTTGTCTTTCACAACCCTGGCAATTTGAAGAGTATGGTTCAGTTATTTTATACAGTGCCCCTCAGTTAGGATGGTAAGTCCCCATGATTATATTTATGTTACGCATTTTTTTCTGTCTTATTCAAATAGTAATGTTTTATTTTTTAATTAATATTTTATTTTATATAATTCTTACATCATTTTTCATTTTTGCACAATGTATACATTATCATTTTGGTTATATTCCCCATACAATTACACCCCCCCTCATTTTGACCCTAGTCCTTCCTCTCCCCTTCCTTCCCCCCCCCGCCCCCGTGGTGTGTCTCTGGTTTATAGTTGCTTGTTGATTTTGATTTTTACTTTGTATTAATTAGTCTTTTTCCTGGTCCCTTATTTAGGTTTTCTAAATTCCTATGAGTGAGACTATCCGGGATTTTTCTTTTTCTTTCTGACTTATTTCACTGAGCATGATCTCTTCCAGCTCCATCCATGTTGCTGCAAACTGCATGTGTTTATCTTTTTGATTGCTAAGTAATATTCCATTGTGTATATGTACCACATCTTCTTGATCCAGTCATCCATTTTTGTGCATTTGGGTTGTTTCCAAAGCTTAGCTATTGTAAATAGTGTTGCTATAAACATAGGGGTACAGGTGCCCTTTGGAATTAATGTTTCTGTGTCCTTTGGGTAAATACCTAGGAGTGGAATTGCTGGATCATATGGAAGCTCTATGTTTAGTAGGTCAAGAAATCACACAGCTCTCCATAGTGGTTGGACCAGTTTGCACCCCCACCAGCAGTGCAGGAGAGTTCCTTTTTCTCCACATCCTCGCCAACATTTGTTGTTGCTAGTTTTTTTTTTTTTTAATATGTGCCATTCTCA